GCGCACCTGTCCGAGGGACGCGTTACCTGTCCGCAGCGTCCCCCGGCGGGCCCGGTCCGGTGCGGGCTGCGCGGCGCGGGGCGGCTCCCGCGGGGCTCAGCCCGAAGTTCGCTCCGGTGTGGTCAGTGCAGCGCCCTCCGTGCCCCGGTCCCGCGGGGCAGCTGAGTCCCTCCGGTCCCCGGGGAGGCTCCTGGCTCTGAGGATACTCATCAGTGTTATGGTCCATGGTTTGTTTGGGTTTTYTTTCCTCTTTCATTCTGTATTTGCTTTGCACTGGATTTTGTAATCATTAACCTACTATTCTTTCTGGAAGTGAGAGCGTGAAAGGGATAACCAGGGAGTTGCATGCCCGCTCCCGAGTAGAGCAAAACTTGAGTTTTGAGTCGAAGTAGAAATATGCATTATCTGGCTAAATGTCTTATTATTTATTTACATGGCTCTGAAAATGGTGCCTTGTGATTTACAGAAAGAAGAGAGTAAGCATTCCAAGCAGCTTCTGCACAGGATATGGCAGAAGAGAAAATTTATAGCAGGGGGGTCCTAGATACTGAAATTATTTTTTTTCTATGCCCGTGTCCTCTAGTTTGTTAATAGTTTTTTAAAAGTTTTCTTGTGCTTTGTCCTGACAACTCAGAAATGCTAMGTGTAGTTAAAGAAAGACTTAAGTGGGGACTATTGTCTGGAATAACACATATTTCAGATCTTCAGTTAAAAAGATGTTTATGAAACTGTAAGTTAATTAAAATAGCTAGGCTATTTAACTCAAATTAAAATAGTTGTGTGTTCTAACAAACATTTGAAGCCTGGCCTTCTAGGGTAAAGACASAAAATTAAAATAATTTCCTCCATTCATGCAGAATACTTCAACATATTCAGARAGAATGGAGAAGAAAGGACTGTTTGCAAACTTGGTCTAGTCTCCTTTGATTTTTAAAGACATAGTAATTATTTTTGAGACCCAAAGGAAGCAGCAGTGGTGGCAGAGAGGAAGGAAGGAAGGCGTATGGAGCAGTGGTGTCTGTACTTGGAGGGGAGGCCTTAAAACTTTTGGAATGGGAAGAGAGGAAGGCTTGGCARTGTCTCTGGAGAGGTTGCATTGCTGTATTGCTGTATCTGCTCAAGGTCGTTGTTCAGTCTCTGAAGAGCGTTTTCCAGGAATTTACCCAGCCCACGTCTTCCACGGGCCCAGGGAAGGTGTGCAAGCTGGGYTGGAGTTATTCCCTGCCACTGTAGAGAGGAAGGAGAAATCCCTGTCAGCAGACTGCAGCTGGCTGTTGTAGCTTCTCCTGAATTCCTGGTCATTTTTAGGAATTTAGACTCATCTCTGGATGTTCTTGGCATGTATCATTTTCTTCTGCCTGGAGCTTTCTGAACATTTTCCTTTGCTTCATATTGTGTAGAATGCAGGGAGAGATGTAGGTAARGATTGCTGATAGTGAGGGTTTCATGTTTTCTGTTCTCTATTCCGCACAATCTCATCATTGGTGGTGCCAGTCTTTGTAGTTGGAAGAGAATCTTTAGTTTTGCTAGTTTGGTTAGTCCAGGTTTTATAAAGGGGCTTTATTTGSATGGGTTGTTCATCCAGACAGCTGAACCACTGGCAATATTTCTCATCTCTGCACAAAGAAGATGCTGATAAAGCGCCAGTTCTTGCTCCATGTGATTSACAGGCTAAATACAAGGTGGAAATCTAGGACTTGATTTCTTGGGGAACTGGAGAAGRATTCCATGTAGAAATATTTGTGTGTTGGCCCTGGGGGAGCCCCAGGGGTAACTGGGAGCAATGTTGGTGAGGAAGTGACCAAACGCAGCTTTGTGGTTTGTCCTAGAAGGAATTTCAGACAGCTCATTTCAAACCTAAGGTTCAGAAGTAAATGAGAAGCCTTGGAGTGAGCTGGAAAGGTACAACAGAAGGGCATAAGGCGAGCTATGCCAGGCCTAAACATTAGARAGGTAGTTTAAACTCTGGTGGATATGTGGCTTTTGGTGGCCCTTCTTTCTGACTTGTACACAGCTTTTCCATGGATGTTCATTCAGAATGCAATGCTTAAGGTCGCAGAGCTCTTTTCTTTTGAAGCCTCTCTGTTGATGTTCCTCAAAGGCCTGTGGGTGGACTGAGATTCTTTTTTATTTTTTGAACTGTGAAATCTTGTTTGGAAATAATAAAAAGTAAAAAAARRAAAAAAGTAGTCTAAGAAGCTGCTTCATGTTGTGAAAAACCTCACTGTAGAATCATAAAAGCTGCAGTTTTTCCATGTTGCTTTGTAGCTTGGCATGTAAATGGAGCTCTTTGAAAAGCATACGCATGGTGGAAAGGGGAGAGGGAAAGGCTCTGGCTGGTTAACAAGCTTCTGAGTGTGTGSAAAGCCACAGTGAACATGTTTGGTGAAGTGTCTGTTAAAACATCAAAGTTTGTTCTGGGCTGGGGTGAGGTACATACACCTAGAAGTGGTCAATGTGTTGGAATATAAATGTGGAAATGGTAGAACAGTGGCAGTTTGTGTGTTTGACAGCCTGGACTGGGTGAGGGGAGTGCTGGGGCAGGTGGGAGGGAGGTACTGGCATGTTCTGTCTGCTGAGGGAGATGCTCGAGGGGTGAGGATGCACAGGGTCAGTCTGYGCCTCCCTGGGCTCACCTCCAGCTCTTGGAGAGTTCAGGTTTATGGTGTCTCACCATGCCAACAGCACASCTCAGCTTTTTGGGGTCTGTTCTTTGCCTTGGGGTGGGGAGAGCGAGGACTTTTCTAACAACCCATGAGAAGCCCTTGGCTGGTGAAGTGTCCTGGATTTGCTGTAGCCCAGCAGTATTGTCAAGTGAAGATTGCTTTGCTGGTGAATATGCTGCACTGAGGAAATMAAAAGGAAAATGCCTGTTTAAAGCAAAATGACAAAACTTACAGATTGAAAGAGCAGAAGAACGCAAGGCTCAAACACTTCTATAGAAACCATAGTTTGACTACATTTGTTGCATGCACAGCGTGATTTGAGAAACAGAAACTTTGTACTTGATGTTTTAAGGAAGGAGAAGCCTGAGCTGCCCTACCTGAAAGCCACTGCTGCTATCTGTTGTTAAAAGCAATAATTGATACAAGCTACAAGGCCAAAGATAGTATTTTTTTCAGTTGTACTTCTGCAGTTCTTGGCACTTGGGTAGTTTTTTTTTTCCTATGTGCAAGCTTTTCATTGAGCAGTGATGACAGAAAAGTGTCACAGTTCAYGTCTGTGTCAGCTCACAGAGGGACACTGTTCCTGTTTAACTTCTTTGAAAACCTCAATTCATGTCCCTTAACAAAAAACCTGCAGAGGAATTCTTATGCATGATATGAGCGAATAAACATCATGCACTTTGGATTTTTAGACGTTATTTTGTACCGAAATTGCTCTGTATTTCTGGTCCTCTCACACTAGACATCATGGAACAGGAGAGGACAGAATTCTTGGAGCCCATTCCTTGTTGCTCTGTTGCCTCGTGCTCATAGTTGTGCTTTGCAATCCTGACCTTTCCGCTAATTTCCTGCGCGGTGTCGGAATGTGGACGAGGTGCTGGCTATAGGAGAAGCCCARGAACAAATTCAGAGTATGTCATTTGTTCTGCTCTTTGTGAAGGGTATGTAAAGCATGGTCYTGAGCTGCTCTGTCCCTCCTCTGCTGCTAAACCCAAGACTTCTGGGACTAACCCAAGGCTGGATTTTCTGGGCAGCTGAGCCAGGCTGCTCTATCTTTATGGCCACCTGCACATCTGCCTGTTGGCTTCTCCASTAATAAAGGCCAGGATTAATTAGTAAACCCCATTCCCTTGTGGTCATATCGTTGATTTTGCTCTAACTATGCAAAATTTTATAACTTTCCTGTTGTAAAATATTGTTGTAACTTGCCGGTAACTCAAAAATGTTGAAGAGAAATAATCTTAAAAAATCCATTTTAGGCATCTTTTGGATTGTGGAAACTAA